AAAACGCATCGATTCGCTACAGGAGGCCTTTGTTCACCCCCCGGAGCCGTGTGAGGCACTTTTTATTATGGATGGATGTGCTTTATTTCACTTCTTTTGGACTGATGCACTGCAACACCCGCTGACTGCCATTAAACAGCTTGGAAGATCAAAGTCCATTTTTAATATAACTCCGATTGGATTCACCTGAAAGAAGGAAGTCATATATGCCTAGGATGGCTTGAGGGTGAGTAAATAATGGGCTAATTTTCATTTTTGGGTGAACTATCCCTTTAATGCATTTGAGATGTTGCAGGTTGCATGTCACAGGTATATTTTTCATCTGTAAATGTTAGAAAGTCATGCAAATATATTCATTTTGCTGTCAGGAGTGGGCGAGGCTTACGCGAGTGAACGAGCGCTGCTGCGCGCATGTGCGCTAAACAGACAGAGCGCAATCGGATAGTAGCGTAATAATTCTATATTTTAGTAAAATATAAATTTTGCTAAAATATTTGTTGTTGTACATTAAATGTGTCTTTTGTAGAATTTTAAACCTACATATAAATGTATTTTTATGATAGCAGTAGGCTAACTGTAAAGGGACTATTGTAATGGGTAAATAAAATATAAGCTAGTACAGTACTAATTAAGCTCTAATGAGTTAATGTGTGTTTCTTACACCAGTTAAAATACTAGGCCCATGTTAAATTTGCTTTATGGAACAAAATCATTTGACAACGAGTCAAACTAGCTGAAATAAGCCTGGCTTATTTGGTAAACTTGTTTAATGAAACAGGCCTCGAGGCATTAGAAGTGATCATATTTTTTCCATTGCATCGTATTGCATAGAATTGCATTGTCTTGAATCGAATCAAATCAAAATCGGATCGCACTGCATCGTAACAGGGGTGAATCGTATCGCATCGCATCGGTAGCTGCTTCATATGTATCTTTAATGTATCGTATCGTAATACATCGAGATGCGTATCGCATCAGCCTCAGTTATGGAGATGCACATCCCTAATACAAATTCCAGTATCCACACTGGTGCGGTGACTGACAGTCACACATTAGATTCATCCACGCTGGAGCCGCAGGTTTTCAATTGCAGGTTTTCAAACAGAGATGGCGACAAAGAGGCAAAACTTACGGACTGCAGCTTTAATTAACTATGACCCACAGTCTAATAGAACTCCTCTTGTTAATATTTATCTGTGATTATTTGGTAATCATCTGTCCACTAGCAAGTATGCTTGATAAAACATCTTTCACATATCACATATTATCAGGGCTCTCAAGTTATATCAAAAGTTTGGAGTGAGATTACATCTGTTAGGGGAGGAGCCACTCAAATATTTACAACAGCAGCCCCTCGGCCACGCCAATTTCTCAAGTTTTTGCTAGCAATTCAATTTTACCTATTGCGTATAATTGACCAGCACAAATAGAAATTATAACAATGGATAAATATGATAAAAGACAAACAATTTAATCCACATAAAGTAAATTGTTTTATTTATTACTAAAATACAAATGTATGAAAAAAATAAAAATAAATTTGGCCCCAAACGATCCAACTGAACAGCAGTGCTCAATGTACATACTGTACACATACAGCAGGATTGCATAACTTGCCCTGAGCCAGCCAAACTGTTCCTAGTTTTGCTTTTGTTCAAACCCACCAGGGAGAACAGTCTCTCTGCATCTGCATTTGAGAGGGGAAGTGCTTTAAGTGGGAGCCCTCTACCCCTGTCATCATGGCATCAAAATGTGCAACAAACACAACAGAAAGAAACGTTCATGTCCCCAACATCAGCTCTCACTATCTTTGATCACAGGCAAGTGATTTCGTCCAGGAATCGTAAAATAAAAATGCTTAAAAAAAATGAAGGGGTTACCTACAGCATTCATTGGATCTTGCTCTTACACTCTACTGCTACGTTTACGCTAGTGCATTTTCGTTTTAAAACGCATAATTTTTGCTACGGTTACGCCTGTCATTTACACTACCCCTGCATTTTCGACAATCGAAAACGGAGACTTTCGAAAACGCTGCAGACCCCATTTTAGTTTGAAAACTCCGGGGTTGTGTTTCAGTGTAAACGGACCAAAACGGAGACTTTTGAAAACGATGGCGTGGCTGCCCACATTCGCTCTGCGTATCCTTGACGATCGTGTAAACAATAACATCATGCTCACTGTTGTACCTGCATGAATGTTCATGTGACATGCGTTTTCGGTTGTGTAGTGTGGACGGAGATCGTTTCTGAAACGCAGTGAAAACGCCAGTGTAGACGAGGATCGTTTTCATTTAACGCCATTTTAAAACAAAAACACACTAGTGTAAACAGGGCCTACGTGTGTGTGCGCATCCATGTTGCCTATAGTAACGAATGTGCTTGCATCGGGATCACATCATTTACATAGAAAAAACAACATTCTAATTCTAACAACAGCAAAATTGGTCACTTACACGATTTGTACAAATCCAAAGATTTTGGTGTTTGGGGGAGGTGGGGGTTGTTCACTATCATCATTATTTGTTTTGAAGTGTTTACTAGTTGGCACAGATAATTTTGTGAAATTGTTTTGATGGTCTGGTGGGTTAAATTCTTAAACACTTTGCTAAGTCCTGCTTTAAATACATTACTGACCAGTCCTATTTTGGCTACCGAAAAAAATATATAGTCTGTGGCTGCATCTGAAATTGCATACTTATGTATTGTAGGCGGAACACAGTATGTGAAAACAGTAGTATGTTCAAATTCTTATAATAAAATATCATAAAACAGTAGACAAAATGTACCCCCGGATGACTTACTTCTGCTGAGATTCTGAAGTGCACATCGAATGGACACCTTGCTATCGCATGAGGCCAGGAGAGAGGATTTGTGAAGTGATGCAGCTGATGCTGGTAGGTCACAATGCAATGAGAAAATGTGGATTACAACATCCGGATTACATTCACACTACACACATTAGTACGATGTATGACAGACGCTGTTTTCTAATAAAATGCAATATTTAGAAAGCGGTGTGGAGACAGATGAAACTTTCAGTAAGTGAAAAACAATGGCATTCTCAAAAATTAGGAAAGTTGACGGGTCCTTAAAAAGGCTTCGATTTAGTTGTATCAAATTTAAGGCCAAATAAAGTCTTAAATGGTACAAGAAAGTCTTAATTATGATTTCAGGAGGTCTTAAATTTGGGGAAGAAAGACAAAAATTGCGATACGGCTTAATGTGATGATTAAACTTCGAAAGGCTGTGATTTCATTGAATAAACATGAGTGCTGTGTTTCAAAGTTCGGTGCTGTGCTGCTTTGTTTACAGCCATTACCCGGGAAACCACTATATTTCTGCCGTTCCAAAAGCACCTCCTGCTGGCAGAGAATGAATTTTCAATAAGCACGTCTGCTGTTTCTGTTCAGACCAATGTGAAAATCAACCAATGTTTGTACGCTACAAATACGCAGAGTTGTTAATGTGAACTGGTGGATCGACAAGAATATAATGCATTATTAAAATGTAAACAATTAAGACAGTAAAATATATTTATGTTATTTAATTAATATAATAATTGATTGATGATAATTTTTTTAATTAATATAATAATTGATACTTTTGACTACTTTTTCTTAAAAATGGTTTAAAGGCTGAAATGTGAAGTTTATTGTTTTATAAAATTTTTGTTTTTGTGAAAACCTATATCTGAACTGTAAATCATGATTTTTACAGTCGTTTTTATTTGATTTTTGCAGGTCTTAAAAAAGGGCTTAAAAGTCTTAAATTTGGCCTTAAATATCCTGCAGACACCCTGGTCTGGCAAAACCCATCAATTCATGTTTTTCTATATAATTGTCCGGACCACGGCTGGTGAGGAGGGTTCATTACTGGACCTCAAGCAATTTTAGCTGAAGACCCCTGATGTAGAACATACTTTTTAAGTGGTCGCAAAGTAATTACTTAAAAGAAGTACCTACTCAGAGAGTGTGTGATTTTGGATGCAGTCTGTGTTTGAATCATTTTAAACAAAGTTTGGGAACAGGAATTCATTGCTTAAAGGATTAGTTCACTTCCTGAATAATACTTTCCTGATAATTCACTTACCCCCATGCCATCCAAGATGTTCATGTGTTTCTGTCTTCAGTCGCAAAGAAATTAAGGTTTTTGATGTTTGAAATCTTTCTTGTGGAATAATGCATAATTTTTTTTTCACTGTTCCTGTAGGCAGTATGTGGTATAAAGTATATACTACATAGTATATAGGAAATAGTATGGAGTGTGTCCATTCTGAACATAGGCAACAATTAGGACAGGTTTTAGCTAAGGGTCAGTGTGATTTTTCTATCCATCTATTCTGTACTACGTACTAGCTCATACATAAAATGAGTATAGACTACCATTATGTCCAGGCTTTTCTCCAGCAAAGCTCAACAGGTGGCAGTATTTTAGTCAGTGTTGTCTTGTGTTTGTTTTTTTTTACCCGTTTGGTTCATCGGCGTACCTCTTTGACGAGTTCACCCTTACATCTAATCTGATAGCAAATAGTAAGCATATTTTGGCGTGCTGTCCTGGGGGAGGGCTCCAAGCCCGGAATATAGCCCGAACCCAGAGAACTCCCCCATCCCTAATATGGGATGAAAATAGTTTAGGAGTGAGGAGTTGGGGTGGAGGAGGGATGCCGGAAAACTGTATTGTGCTAGTTAGGATGGTTAGCTAAACGAGTTACACCTGTGCCAAATTGGTTGATTATCTGATCGTGCTCCACCCGAATCTTGTTAATAAAACATCATTAAACAGTAGTGATGGGAAACCGAGGCTTTCTGAACCGTTTGAGGCTTTCATCAAATTGTGCCGAAAAACGGTTCATTACTCGAAGCTTTTTAACATAGTGCGTATTAGGCCGAGTTCACACTGCACGATTTTCAAAGACGTCGCATCACTGTTGGTTTCACACTGAAGGACTATCTGGGGTAGCATTCAGTTGTTGCTGTGTTCACACTGCACGATGGAATGACGACAGGAGGTTACACACTGCATGACTTTACAATAGGGAGAATCATTGATAACTCTGTCTGGTGCAGGGTTGCCAGGTTTTCGCTACAAAACCCGCCCAATTACTACTCAAAACTAGCCTGAAAATAGCCCAATTGCTTTCGAGGGGGTCCCCCAGTAAAAATCGCGTTCGGGGGGTAAAATACAAATTTTTTTGGTGGGGTTCTCCTGGTACAATTCACATTCCAGGGCCTAAATATCACGTTATTGGGTTTGCTTCAACCTGCTGACATAAAAAACAACTGCTGGCAACACTGGTCCGCAAACTACGTTTCATATAACTCCTCCCCGAACTTCCCACTGCCCTGTATCTTGTTCTCTCATTGGCTGTAGGTCATCGCCGATGTGTTTTTCAGTCAGAACTCATTTCACACAGCGTGATTGTGAATCGCCGACAGCTCCAGATATTTATCATGCCAAATATTTCACGGGCGTCGGCGATTCCCTCAGATCGCGTCTTTGATAATTCACACTGCGTGATTGTCACTCGCGTTAACGAGCACCGATTTGCCTCCGATTTCAGGTATTTGTCGGCGATTTCGCAAAACCTGTAGGCGAGTGAAAAATCGGGCTTAAATCGTGCAGTGTGAACTCGGCATTAGCGACATCTGGTGGTCAGACTCGGTTTCTCCAGCCTATCTAACGAAACATCGCGGAGCAGAGGATGGTTTGAAAAAGTTTTTAATCTGTGCCAACTCGTGTCATGCGTAGTCCAGTCAATGGATTCACATATTGATCAATAATCTAAAATATACAAGTGTGTGATTATAATTAATAATTGACATGAGTAGTAGCAAAAATATTTTGGGTGAGCTGTTCGGGGTCTCTGAGACCCCAGCTGGAGCATGATAAAATGCAATAGAAGTGTGACATGCATTCAGTTTCTGTGTGGTGTTGAGGTTATTCTAAACTATTCTACTGAATCCCACATAAGTGTACACACACACACACACACACACAACCAAGTCAATGTAAAGTCGAACACAAGAGTCATGCGAAGCGCCAATTTTTTTCAAACCAGCTGTCCCGACCTTCCGGTACTGCATGACGTTCGAAGCTTCAAACGTCATCAATCGCGTGGTGTTGTCATTTCAATACAAGCATCGGCACAGTGTGTGATACAATAGTGCTTTGAAAACTGCGTCGGAGCATCGAAGCCTCGGTATCAAACGTCTCATCACTATTAAACAGAGCCACAGGTTTGGGTCCCCCATCATATACTGGAATACAGGTTTGAACAATGTTGACAGCTGTAAAAAGTGATGTCAAGCACGTTGGTATGTGAGCAATGCCACAGTCTGTTAGTTCTCCCATGCTTATCTTGTCTCTGCAACCTGCTTGTCTGATGATTGAGATTTTTCCCATTACTACTTCTTTTGAGGGTTTTACATGTGGAATTTGCAGCTTGTAAGGCCTTGCCTCCCACTGCATTCTTTACTTGCTCACACACAGAGTTCTCATTACGCAGCGCTGTATTTCAAGTGTCCCATTTTTGTCAGCTATAGCAGTCTGTCAGAAACACAGTTCCCACCATGGCTTGAAATTGGTTCAGAGGAAGCGAACACGTCTAGGATGATTATGACTTGATAGAGGTACAGCATGCCTGGAGTGACCTCAAAACCATTCAGTTTATCCATAAATCTGTGTCGTTGTCAGAAAGATATTGAAGCAGGGTTTGGGCATGTGTTGATATCATAAGGTTGAATGCTTTAAACTTTCAGTTGTCAGATAGCCTTGCTGGCATTCCTTTAACTTCAACTTTACCCTGTGGCTGCTGTTAGCTAGGTCAACAGATCTATATTGGGCCTTCAGCAGGAACATCTCACCTTCTTTTGAGTACAGTGAAGAGTCCCCTTACGAAAAATAAGTTTATTCAAGTGTGCTATTAGTATACTTCTTTTAAACAAAAAAATAGGAAAGTATACTTTTAGTCTACTTTTTATGTACTTCTCAGAAATGGGCTTTATGTACTTCTCAAAAATATACTTAAAATGACATTTAAGTATACTTGACTTATAGCCTACTTAGAAAAAGTCTAAATATATTTGAGCTATACTTGTGTTCCTAGAATCTGTGTTTTCATTGTTATACGGTAGGGGCCGCTAGTACACATTTTCTGTACAGAATAAAAAAAAAACACAAGTGAAGAAGAAACCGAAACAACAGATGCTTCCACATGTAATCTAACACGATCATTAGACATAAAACAGCATCAGAACTGTGTAAAGTTGATGTAATGTCGACCAATGAAGAGGTAATAATGACTGTCAAGCTTTGGGGTGTTGATCGACTCTATCTACGTTTTGATTATCGTTCTGAATCCAATTCATAGTATTTTTTCAGCTTTTTGTTCAAAATGTTGTTTATTTATTTTTTAATTTTTTTATTTATGAAACTTACCCACATTCAAGTGTTTAAAAAAAGAATGCATGAAGCTAGAATAAAAATTTTTGTTTACAAGCAGATATCCTGTTCTTTATTTTGGTGTTTTGTATGTTCAGATATTTATATAACAAAATATATACAAATTAATACCTAAATAGGGACATAGTAGTATACTTAAAGTATGATGTAAAGTTCACTTAAAGAAAACTTACGAGTATACTTGCAGTATAAAACTACTAAACTAGTAGTTTACTGAGACTATACTTCAAAGTGTACTAAAAATGCTACTACAAGTATTTAATTAGAAAACTATCAATATTCATATGTTCACTTTTAGTATAGTTGCAGTACAAACTAAACATTTTGATGTAAACTAGTTGTGTACTCAAAGTTTACTACTGTTATACTTAAAGTATACTTAAAAGTATACTTTTATATACTAGAAAGTGGGCCAATTTAGTCCCAAGGAGTATTGAAATAGTACACTTACAAGTATACTACTAGTACACTGATATTTGTATACTTGCTACATAAAGTATACTTAAAAATATACTTGAACTTTACTTAAGTATACTTAATAAAATACACTTGAAGTATACTACTTTTTGGTAAGGGTCATCAACATTTTTTCTTTTATGTCTAACTTGAACAACCTATAAATTCATGTAGGCTATCATTTGGTTCACCATTTCCCGCTCCCGCTCCACTCCTAGCTCACTGATATCAGAAACACCACTCCGCGGCTAAGTATTTCAGTTTGTTTGAAATATCACAGTTCTGTTCATAATGTATATTAAAAGAAAAAAGAAAATAAATAACAGGAACGTTTCAAAGTGGCTTATTGGAACACTAGTGTGCAAACTTTTTTCCTACCACATGCCAAGCTAATATGGTTGTCAGCATTAAAAGGTATAATTGCTGCTTTTTGCAGTGCAAATTTAGTTTGTGATGAAAATAACAGTACGTTTTCATCAGTTATTTTACCTACGGATCGCTGCATTTCTGCATTTTATGCTACAGATTTCTGCTCATTCGAAATTGGATACAGATGAAGCACTGTAAGATTACATATGTTTGAATGCATTATTGAGAGAGCGATTGTGTGTGAATAAGGGTTGTACCTGTTTAAATCATGCTTTCACCTGAAAATATTCAGTAGCCTATCTAGAAGGAACAAACAAATTCCTTGAGAACTATAACTTCCCGCTATGTCCATTGCCGTCATCATAGCCTTCACATTCTTTCTGATTTGACTGATCCTTCTCTATCAAGCTAGCTATATGTTTAACATGTGAATTCTTGCTAAATATGCAGTTATATTACGGGCCGTTGGCATGAATTGTACTCGTGATGGAGCGGTGATGGAGCGCTCTTGGAGCGAGTGAAAACCACGACGCTCCGACTTTTAAAAAATCCGCTCCTCGCTCCATTCAAAATCACGCCGCTCCACTCCGCGCTCCGCTCCGCTCACATACTCTGGTGTAGATACGTTCTGTTTTATATATGAAGAGTTCATTTGCAAAAACGGATAACGCCATTTTTTTGTTATTTCAGAAATCACGTTTTTTTTTATGGCACCACCATCAACATCATTTGATTGACTTGGGAACAGAACTGGGACAAGGGTAGATGTCTCAGGGACAGAGGGCCTAGGTGTCGATCCAGCTTGAACAACGAAAGGCCCAGACACCAAGACCCAATCATCAATATATAATTAATTTACACTTGGTTGGATTGGAGTGAACTCAAGTTCAATTCATTGTATTGTTTGCTTTTGGAATGCATAATAAGTGTGAACAGGTGGGTGCAAAGATTAAAATTATATGCCTTCAATAGGGGTTCACTTTCACGATTTAGGGAAAATTGTGTTTATAGCAATGGCAAATTGTTTGAAAGTTATGAAATGTACTCCAGACCACCTTCTCAAACAAAACTTATCTACAACAAATTAAATCTAATATGGATTCTGAAGGAGCATATTAAAAATTAAATGTCTTTCTAAGGCTTGGTTCAGATGGGCAGCAGAAATCAGATTTTTTTGCATATGTGACTTACATTTTTTTTATAGTCTGTAGGGGTGTATCGTTACACAAAAATTATGGTTTGGAATGTTTTTGGTACAGCAGGTGGACAAAACACACGTCTCAACACTGCATTTGTTCAGTACACATCCATGCTGAATTGAAAGAACCGTACTGAAAATTCGGTATGAATAATTGTACAGTTACACCCCTAGTAGCCTTTTTCATCATTCATCAAGGTTTTTTTTTTGGTTTTTTTTAGTGAACGGCAACTCTATGGTGTTAAACACTGCAGAGCTTGTCTAATGTTTCCCTTAACATGCTGAAGTTAGCAAAACAACCAACCTTTTCAAACGTTCACTCTTTACATGAATCCATGTTAGGATGCTTCATAATTATGACAACCAATGTGGACAAGGTAGCAAAAGCAACTTCAGAAAAAGCATGTTTATGCCATACTGTATATCTGTTAGCTATACTAAAACTTCATCAAGCTTGTTGATCTTTTACCAGCTTGCTTCTACTGATGTCACCCTAAAGTTTTAAGTATTGTTGGATGCTGGTGTAGAATCCATTGTTTAGGGACATTTGACAGTTCTGTTGTCTTTGGCAGGAGGTTCAGCTAAACACCTCTTTAAGCACTAATGATGCCCCTCTTTCTCACCCCCCTCTATTTCTGCTCGCTCCACTCACCCGCCCAGCACCTGGACCCCATCCCCGAATCCCGCTCCTGAAAACCTGGCCTTGCCATTTTTTTCAAGCTGTAATTAAGGAGATGGTTAGCCAGGCTCTGATGTAATAGGAGTGAAAGAAATGTCCAACCTCACCCTCTGGCAGGGCATGGCAAAGAAAAGGAGAAGGTGTCACTGCATCTACACAATGCAGTTGGATCAAGGAGGGTCCTCGATTTGACACGTAGAGACTGGACCATCCACTCCTCTTGCTCCTCCTCTATTCTCTTCAACTGCTGCAATTTAACGCCCTCTCCGCACACCTCCTTAAATGTAATTAGGTGGCTGTCCCTGCAGCCCGGCGCCCTTTTGACTTTCGGTGTGTGCAGCAGCCCCAGCAGATGCACCTGCCCCCTGTCTTACTCTGCTCAGGTGAACGAGGGCAGTTAATCTCCTGCGACCCCTGGCAGACTCTCCCAGACACCTGTCTGCCAGGTGCCGCTTTATCACCTGGCCGCTCTCTGTTCTGGCCTGGTTGAGGATAAGGAGGGCGGGAAATAGCGAGAGACAATGAGAGAGAGAAAGTTCAGCACTCTTCAGCTCCAGCTCAACCCACACCTTTCTCCCACTGCCTGGTCTTTTGTGAACAGCAGCTGCTTAGGTGTGTGTGTGTCTTTGTGTTTCAGATGTATTGGATATGTATTGTGTTTCAAAATGTATTGGAGTGATAAGAATAGTTTGGAATGGTTCTTCTAACCGAGGCATTTGAAAAGACTTTGGTAAGTTACCAGTAGCAGAACTTCTCAGTAAAGTTGTAGCACCCTACTGATGACTTATTTGACCACTTTACAATTACTTTGTTAATCTGTGATGCTCTATTTAACCAAGGTATTGGAGGCTGTACTATACTGTGAACATAATCATGGCTGAATGGTGTTGAAAAGAGTTCTAACCTCTGATAATACACCATTGACCATGAACTCAAACTTGAGTTTCAAACTCAAATCCTGCATCCAAATATGTATGTGTATATATTAGCTGAAAAACAATACATACAAAAGGGAAGTATGTTCAAAATTTATAGTATTCATAAAACAGCATGCAAAAAGTAACATGATGACCTACTACTTTCGCAGTGATTGCAAATTTAATTGACGCTTTACTATCCTATGAGGCCAAGGGAGTGGAGTTAATCGAAGCAACTGATGCCGTGAGTCACATTACAATGATAACACAGGGGACGTAGAATGTCTAGATTTCTTTCATACTATGCACATTCATACTTTATAGAACATACTTTTTTTAATGGTTGCAAAGTAAGTTCTCTTTTTCAAATGTAGCACCTAAAGAGTATGCAATTTTAGACAGCTAAATAGTACAGTAAAGTGTCTATTGGATGCACAATTTAGAATCGTGGTGAAATTAGTTGGTCATTCAGGTGTTTTTCACCTACTGTTTTATGAATACTGCATATTATGACATACTGCTCATTTGATGTGCTGCTTTTAACGTACTATATAATAATGGCATATTCAGATGCAGGGTTAGTCCCTGAAATGACAGAACAGTGCTGTGCAGTGATGCCATAAACGTGCGTTTTGCTGGATTTCAACACCACTGAAACGCACTGAACAATCAGAAGCCAGGACTGCACTTAGCCATTTTTTTATTAAAATATTTTTTGTATGACTCTCTGTAATACTTGATTTTGTTTGTTGGCATACATTTTTTTTGTGCATAATAAATGCCAAACTGTGGCTACGTTCACACTGTCAGTTTTTGGGATTGACAACCGCATTTACTTACAGGTGTGAGTCTTGAAATGTCACGTTCACACAGCATTTACTTCCTCACACACAGAGTTCTCATTACGCAGTGCTGTATTTCAAGTGTCCTGTCCCATTTCTGTCAGCTACAGCAGTCTGTCAGAATGCAGTTCTCACCATGGCTTGGAATTGGTGTTCAGAGGAAGTAAATGCATCTATAGGACGATTACTACTTCAAAGAGGTACAACATGCCTGAAGTGACCACAAAACCATTCAGTTTATCCATAAATCTGCAGTGTTGTTGAAGTGGGGCTTGGGCATGTGTTGATCTCATAAGGCTCAATGCTTTAAACTTTCAGCTGTCAGATAGCCTGGCTGGCATTCCTTTAGCTTCAACTTCCCCCTGCGGCTGCTGATGTTAGCTAGGTCAACAGATCTCTATTGGCCCTGCAGCAGGAACATCTCACCTGCTTCTGAGTGCAGTGAAGGGTCATCAACATTTATTTTTCTTTTATGTGTATAGGTTCCATTTTCTCACAATTTAACCTGCAAAGACAACTATAAATGAGTCATCTGTGGGTCCCCAAAAAATTACTTTGTGGCATTTTCATTACTCTGTTTGTTTAAGAAATCCAACATAGCAATATTGGCTCATCTAATGGCATTAGATTGTGGTTGGATTATGTGGACTGAAAAAGGCTGTGCTGCAGTTAAGCCAATCACATTCAGATTTGCCTCCATTTCGGTATATAATGCTTACTTTTCACAATCAATCAAAAACAGTGGATAAATTCAATTACCGTCCTTTGGGGGGTATTAAGTCATATTACTCAGAAATATGTCAAAATGCACTAAAGTAGCACACTTATACTCTGGCTGTACTGTTTATGCCATACTGTATGCCGTTTAGCAAGACTAAAGGTTTAAGCTCATCAAGCTTGTTGCTCTTTTACCAGCTTGCTTCTACGGATGTCACCCAAAAGTTTTAAGTATTGTTGAATGCTTGTGTAGAACCCATTGTTTAGGGACAGTTGACAGTTC